TATATATATATATATATATATATATATATATATATATATATATATATATGATATTTAAAAAATCTAAAATTTGAGGTCCTATATGTAAAAGCTTTGGAGAGTAATATATATAGTATCATAGTAGGGCCTGAGTCATGGATAATGTTTCCTTGGAAAAAAAATCAAAAAAATGATTTCAGATCTTGAGATACCTTTATCCGATCATAAAGATGATTCTATTTCAAGTACCTTTTGAACCTCAGATATGACTGAATAGAATATTTCAGACAGTAGTCTTTTCATTTATCATATGCATGTGCTTGTACGGGACTCTAAAGCACGGATTCGGCCCCGGAGGTCACCAATCCGTGTTCGACTCGAATCGGACACGGATTCGTCACGATACGTGCACAACACGTGTCGGACACGGTCAATTCGTGTCCGACACGGGTCAACGGTCAATCCAGGGTGGACACAGTCAAGGGCATGCAGGGACACGACTGGGATTCGCCGAACAAAAAGAAAAAGAAAAAAAATAGTGAAAGACAAAACCGAAATCGAAACCCAAACCCAAAACTAAACCCTAAGGGTGTGTTTGGTAATCAATATGTTTTTTGTTTTGTTTTTGTAAAAAACATCATGCCATGGTGTTTCTTTTTCAAATGTGTTTTGAAAACACCATTTTGGTCAAACAGCTTTGACCTTTATATTAGTGTAGTGCAATGAGCGGCGAGCGATCGGGTGTCCTAAGTGCCGGCCGGCGGCCGACGAGCCGACGTCAACTCCTCTTGCTGAACGCTAATTTGACCGTCGGCCTTACCAGCGAGTTAGCGACGATTTGTGGCGACAGGCGTGCTGACGGGCGGGCGACGGCGGCCGGACGACGGCGATGCAGCGACGGCGTAGGCCGGCGACAATAGCGTGCGGCGGGTGGGCAGCGCGGCGACCGACGATAAGCATCTGCGGGGTGGAGGCGTGGCCTGCCAGCCCGACCGACGGGCGGGTGGCGACGGGCAGGGCGCGCTGGTGGGCCGCGCGCGGCGACGGCTGGTGGTGGCGATGGCGGTAGGTGGCCGACGGGCGAGGGTGTGTCGGACAAGCCGGCTGGTCGGGCGGGCGGCGACGGGCTAGGGAGCCGGCGCTACTGTTTGCGACAGTGGCGACGGCCGGGCGGCAGGTGCGTCGGCTGGCGGCGGGGGGGGGGGGGTGGCTGGCGGGCGCGCGGCGGGGTTGGGGTGGCGGCGGTCGCGGTGTCTTTGCCAGACAGCGACGGGCGAGCGGGCGGCGGCGGCTTAGATGAAAAAACGGAATCTCAAAACACATTTTTGATGTTTTGAGAAAAGTGTTTAATTTTTAGATTTTATAAAGGGACAAGTCAGAAAAAACGCACCGGTTGCCAAACACATTTCTTTGTTTTTGTTGAAAAAAAATAGAAACGGTAAAAACGCCACGGTTGCCAAACGCTCCCTAAAATTTTCATTCACCTGATTCCCGACGCCGCCACGACAGCTTCGATCTCGTCTTCTCTCTCTCTCTGCGATCTCGTCGCTCGTCCTCGTCCACGTCGCTGCTAGGTCAGTCCTCGTCCTCTCTCGACCAATCTCTACAGCTTCGATCTTGTCTTCTCTCTCGCTGCAATCTCGATCTCGTCTTCTCTCTCTCGCTGCGATCTTGTCGCTCGTCCTCGTCCTCGTCCTCGTCGCTGCTAGGTCAGTCCTCGTCCTCTCTCTCGACCGATCTCTACAGCTTCGATCTCGTCTTCTCTCTCTTGCTGCGATCTCGTCGCTCGTCCTGTCCTCGTCCTCGTCGCTGCTAGGTCAGTCCTCGTCTCTCTCCCTCTCTCGATCTCTTCATCTCTCTCTCTCTCTCTCTCTCTTCGTCTCTCTCGATCTCTGAGTCTCTCTCTCTCTCTGATTTTCTTTCTCTCTCTTTTTCTCTCTGATGTAGTCTCTCTCTCTAAATCTCTCCGTCTCTTTCTCAGTCTCTCAGTCTCTCTTCGCTTAATTTTTTTTTGAAAAGACTAACCTTTTTTTTGTTTATGCAGCTCAGAGAATTGCAACCTTGCAATTAAAAACCCTTGGATATGGTTGCATTTTTGCAACTAGGGCTTATGTTCTCTTATTGTTTTTTTGGAAATTAATCCCTATGTTGTTGAGTTTTGCAACTAGACCCTATATCGTGATATTGTACTTTTTACCAATAAGTCCTTCACATTATTATGTCCTTCCAATAAGTAGAATCTCCGTGTTGCATTTTGCAACCAAAGTCTCCAAGCTTTTGTTGTGCATTTTTGCACTCAGATCGTTAAAACCTTGCTAGCTATTGAGTATTGAGCGATGTTCTAGCCGTGCAGATGGAGAAATTAGCATTGAAGGACAAGAGAACGTACATTCTGGAGTTGGTTGAGAAGTTCAAATACTTATAAAATTCTTTCTTTTAATTTTATTTGTTTTCCCTCTTGGTAAGAAATCATCTTTTGATTGTATGTAAGGGTCGCACAGTGAAGCGTGGCAATATCCTATCTAAACCATCAAGCCATTTTCAACATTTGTTGTTTCTTTTGTAGACACTAGTATGCGATATGTGTGCACTATATGTGTTGTGCACGTGATGCATGGTATAATTATTCACGTAGATATAATTATTTTATGTTCTAAATTTGATTATAGTTTGTTATTATTACTATTGTTGTATAAAGAATGTGAGTAATTATACACATAGTGGTAGATAATGACTAAATAATTGATTTTGTAATTATAGTTTATGCAGCTGATGATGAAGGCAATGAAGAAGTCATCGGACTAGCTTCCACTTCATCTTGATGTACTTTTTGTTTACAAACTTGTTATTTTGTGATAGAATATGTACTCCAATTCCTTTTTTGTTTACAAACTTGTTATTTTGTGATAGAATGAGTATGTATTCCAATTCCTTTTTGTTTACAAATTTGTTATTTTGTGATAGATTCATATTTTAGATTGTTAGTTGAATTTTATAAAATTTTCTATATATAATAATAATTTAAAAAAATTCCTTGTCGTATCCCCGTATCCTATTTTTTTGGATTTTCCCGTATCCCGTATCCGTGTCCGTGTCGTATCCGTGTTCCGTATTCGTATCCGTGCATCATAGGTACCGAACTTTTCACATTATTCTTCCATTGATCGTTTATGCCTCTCCACTTGTTTCTCATTATCAAATTTCTGTCTTGCTTATTTCTAGTTGTCTAACTAGCTGTTCTTTTCAGTATTGGCCTTTCATTTTGCATAAATACTGGTTATTAACTTCTCTATATGAGCAATGAACCTTTATGTTCTGCTTCTTTAAAAAAAAATACTCATGCACTTTCAAGTAACATTCCGAACATATGTGAAGTTGGATTCATAAGTTTATTAAATCGTACTATCGTCAATTCCCTTATTTATTGCATGGAACATGCTTAAAATAATAGTTATTGTACATTCTTAAGCACTTATCTTTTTTCATCAAGGGGTTTATACGTTAATATTTTCTCGAGGGCTAGTTCTTTTTTCAACCATCACTTCATATCTTTTTTTTTGCTTGTGCAGTCTTCTGCTAATGCAGTTCTTTCTAGTCCTTAATGATATGGTTATATCTGTCTTTTAACGTTTTACACTTGTGCACTTTAATATGCTTGTTTAATCCTTGCGGTTGATACTTCAAAACAATTCACGTCACTGGGTGCCCGAAATAAAGTCACTACAACTAGCATGTTTTCCTTGAACTTTTCTTTTAAACATAACTGTATCGTGAAATTATCTGCTAACATAGTAGTTACAGTTAGCTGCTTGACAAAATACTGCAGAGAAGGCATTAAGCTGCTTATTGAAATAAGATGCAGAAGAGAAATTCTTCATTGACTCTACCCCATAATAGCTCAATTAGTGCTCATTGATAGGCAGCACTCAAGCTTGATGTGAAATTTGATAAATTATGAATTATATTCTCGGCTAATGGCTTTGTATAGAATGCATACATGCACACATTGTAATGTACACACATGGAAACATATACATTCATGGACTATCAACATGCAAGTGTAGAGTACAGTAAATATGTTCCACATGATATACTTACGTTAGTTGCCTAGGAGCTATTAAAAATGTTTAGTCTGGTTAAATTTCAAGCTTCTCGAAAAACTTCAATACAAGCTTGGAGCAAGTGCTAAACAAAACAATAGTCATAAACAAGACTGCTCGTTTACTCTCTGTACTTTGTCTTCTAATCCATTGACGACATGAATTAAATATCTTGTTCCAGCTACATGGTGGTCTCTGTATGCGTCAGACTATCCAGATCTCCAGCACTTCGCTGTTAGGATTTTAAGCCAGACATGCACCATAACTACAGCCGAGAGGAATTGGACCATGAAGGAGTGCATGCATTCAAGAAATAGGAACAGATTGGAACAAGAAAGGTTGACAGATCTCACATTTGTACACTACAATTTGCGTCTTCAACAAAGGTAATCTTCCCTAATCTTATTTTTGTTACTATTATCGTTATTATAAATGTGAGGCAAGTTTTACAAAACTACCATGGACTTTGGGCTGTTTTGCACAAAACTACCATGTACCTTTTTATTAGAGAAAAGTGTTATGAATGTTTTCATTAAAATAACACTCGTGACATGTTTGGACAAAATTTGCTCTTATGCTCTTGTATTCTATATTGCCGTTATGAACTCTGTGGGGTATTTGACATAAATAAGTATAGGACTTCTGATCCAAGACAAGAGTCCAAGATTTTAGTGCCATTAGCAATAATTTCCAGTAGTTCAAGATATTTTCTGGAGGTGTCAAAGTTCATGATAGTTTTTTCTAATAAAACAAGTTTTGGTAGTTTCGCGTAATCCCCACCCTTTCATAGTAGTTTGGTGAAATTTACCTATAGTTCGATTCAAGGTCCTTTTGTTTTCACGAAGATCATTTCATTTCTCTCGTGGACAATATTAGGCAATTAGCAGCATCTGGAAGCAAGACACCAATAAGAGGTGAGCGCGGTCCAGTAAGTTTGGATGGAAGGGACTTCAGCATTGGAGAATGGATTGAGGACCCTGGGGTACTTGAGGGACAAGATACAAGCTGGATGAATGTGGCTTTACCCAGTGATGTAGATAATGATAGTATTGGCGTTGACGATGGAGGCACTGAGATGAGTGATTAAGATCTAAGAGTGGTGATAACATTAGATTTGTAATGTTCTATTTGTACAAATGTCAAGTCAGGTCTTTTGTTGTGTGTATATTGTTCATTTGATTAGCTAACTTTTCTTTGTTTATTAATTACAGTGTTTATTATACTAAACTTTTGGTTTGCTGAGAACCTTGATAGCATGTACTGGATATTTTAGAGGTATTGGTGATGATGATGGAGGCATTGAGATTAGTGATTCAGAGCGGTGATACCATTAGATTTGTAACGTTTTCTTTAGTAAAAATATCATAGGCATGTATCATGATTATTTGAGTGTGCTTCTTATGATGCCCTAGATACCAAGGGTAAACTATGCTTAAATATCCTATTGTTCACCCAATGCTTGCTCATAAATATTCTCAATTATAAATGGTTGTACTCAAATATCCTAAAGTTTCTAAAAGTATTAGTGTAGTACACGCGGTTACGCAAACATGAGAATTTCTCCATGAAAGTTCTTATGCAACATTCACATACTATTTTTAGAATATTTTGACTCTTATTTTTTGTTAAACCTATCAAAATCCTATTTCAAACATACCCTCATTCTATTTTAAAATAGGATTTTGATAAGTTTAATGATAGATCTAACGAAAAGTAAGGGATAGAATGTTCTAAAAATAGCATTTGCGTGTCGCATGAGGATTTTTCGAGCGAAAATTTTCACGTTTGCATTATTAAAGATACTAAAGTGCAGCTTTTATAAACGTTGGGGCTATTTAAGTGCATCCATTTACAACTGATTGTATTAATGTGCAACATTGGGTAAAACAATAGGGTATTTAACTGTAATTTATCCAATATCAGTCGTCAATTGTTCATTTGATTAGCTAAGTGTTCCTTGTTTATGAGTTACTGGTTTTAATTTATGATTGGCTAAGAACCTTGATAGCATGCTGTTACTACACATAAATGGCTAAGTGTTAATCCTCCCCAATGAGCCGACACGTGTCTATACTAAGCATCAGATCAACTTCACCCTAGGCAGGATGGCTCGAGCAACATCAACACTCGACCCTTCCTAAAGAGGGCCATGTTGAAAGTCATCCTCACTCGAAGCCACTACTTGAGTTGACCCTACTCCTCTAAACCCTACGAGGCCGGGTCGAGAACTTTCGAGTACAAGATGACCGAATAAAAAGGTGATACTTATCAGCCCGCTCACAGAGCCGAGTCTAAAGGCGGTTTGTCCTTAAATCCCCCGCCGACGGTCGATCACCATCATATTAAATGCATGATCAGTACCATCATTACTCCACCCCTGAAAGTCTTTATGACTAATCGGACCTCGTCAGCACTATGTATTCCTCGTCACCATCACATTAAACGAATAGGTGACTCATCCCCTCTGCAGTCGACACGTGTAAGTATCTGTCGACTAAACCACCTGCTTAGACTCGGCCAAAATTATGCAAATTGCCCCTCTATACCTCCTATAAATAGAGGCACTGTCTGCTGCACATGGGTAAGTAAATTCTTGCTATAGAACACACCTTCTCCACTCAAGCTCATTACTGACCTGATTGTCGGATGAACCATTGGAGATCCTAACTCCGATCCTCTTGCGTGTTGTTTATGTGCAGGAATGGATTCTCTGCTCAAGAACTGACTGTCTAAAGAAGATTAAGGGACACTAATACACTGATAAGTACACAATTAATCCACTGTTTGATAACTGACATCAACATTTTGGCGCCCACCGTGGGGCCTCTTTTTCTTCTTTGCACAAGATGGATGGTTCCGATCATCCAGGCCGATCTCCATTCCATCCATTGAAGAAACATAGGCGGGTATGTCACTCAAGTCCAACTAGAGGAATCCATCCGAAGAATTTCCCAATCTCTTTAGCAACATGTCACTTACTTCACGAACAAACTTCTAAGCCGGATTCCTCCCTAACATCCTTCTCCGTTGTTCGTTCCTCCTCCTCCTCCTACGGGTTAGGCGTTCATTACTCCTCCTCCTCATGTGGGTTAGGCTAAGCAATGAATACATAAGGATTATGATGAATACACCTCTCCCCCGCTTCGCCAGCAGACTCGTTTCGCCGCGCCTCCTCAACAACCTTAGCAATATATGGAGGCTACGGGGGAAAGCCCCAGCTTTGGCCATGGTAGCCATGAGTGCACTGCATGGACAACATCACGCGGCCTCCGATACCCTCACACTGCTCCATGTCCTTCAACGACTAATCTTGCGTCTGGTTATGACCGGACGTTCAACACAGTAGAAGACACGCCTCCTCAACAACCTTAGCAATATATGGAGGCTACGGGGGAAAGCCCCAGCTTTGGCCATGGTAGCCATGAGTGCACTGCATGGACAACATCACGCGGCCTCCGATACCCTCACACTGCTCCATGTCCTTCAACGACTAATCTTGCGTCTGGTTATGACCGGACGTTCAACACAGTAGAAGACACCATCGGGGGAAACACTCCACTCGCCGACTGGATCATGAACGCTCCATGTGCCAAGTTCAAGATACCGTATATTGAAAAGTATAAAGGGGAGGGAGATTCGGCGGAGCATGTGCAAAATTTTTATGATCTGATGAGCATGTAGTAGGTGATCGAGTCGATCATCTGTAGAGCCTTTCCTATCACATTGACATGAAGCACTAAGATGTGGTGGAACTCTCTAGACAAAAAGTCCATCCATAGCTTTGAGCAGCTCAGCCAAAAATTTGTACCCTACTTTTTGGTCGACTCCAAGCAAAAGAGGCCATCCTGTGTCCTGCTGCAGATGAGACATAAACCTGGGGAGAGTCTCAGGGATTACTTCAAGAGATTCCAAGCTAAAAGGTTGGAAGTTGATAACCCTAGCAATATGATTGCCATGGCTGCAATATCGGTAGGGTTAGAGGATGACAAGTTGTCCGACTCGCTTATCATAGACCATGTCACCAACTATGAGTAGCTAATGGCCAGAGCTCAAGGATACATGGACGCGAAAGATGCCCGAGCCTACAAGGAGGAGGAAAAAAGAAGCCGTAGCAGCAGTAGCAGCGACAGAAGCCGAACCCTCTTCAAAAAAGAAGACGGAGAAGGATCCCCCTAGAGCCGACTCTAAGTTAAGCAGAGTCGTCAAGAGGGACCAGAAGAAAGAGGCGACCAAGAGGCTGGCCCTCATTTCTCTCCACACCACTTCCTCGCAAGCTCTCATTTGGTTCAGAAAGAAGGACCTCAATTCCACCCCTCCCTGCATGAAGTCGGATCCCTAGTTTAGGGATACCAAGCAATATTGCAGGTATCACAAGGATCAAGGTCATCACACTGATGAGTGTAGAGTCCTCCAGAGGGATATCGAAGACCTGATACAGAAAGGGTTTCTAAAGAAACTCGTTTCTTTTCAAAACAGAGGAGAGCCAACTCCAGAGAAGTCAGGGAGGAGGTCTCGATCAAGATGGCCCCGTCCCCAGCAAGACAAACAACCTAAAAAAATCAGGCAGCCAGGGCGTCATCAACACCATCAGCGGCTGTCCAGCTGCAGGAGGGATGTCCAATAGCACTCAGAAGAAATATGCTTGATGAATATTTGATATCAACCTATGTGAGAAGAGACCAAGGACATATCATCCTATTTCCTTCAGCAACGATGATCTGAATGGCATAGAGACACCTCATGATGACCCTCTCATTATTTCAACCGAGATTATGGCTTTCAAGTCAAAAGAATCTTGATCGATATTGGGAGCTCCACCGACATCTTGTTCATGAGTGCCTTCAATCAGATGGGCATTGAAAAGTCAAAATCACAACCTTGTCGAGATCCCCTCATCGGGTTCACAGGACACTCACTCCTACCAGAAGGACTGATTACTCTCCCCATAGTGGTCTGCGAATATCCTGGCCAATCCACTATTCAACTCAATTTGTGGTGATTGAGGTGAAGTCCGTTTACAACGTTATTCTCAGAAGAACTTCATTGAATAACCTTCAGGCGGTCTTGTCCACATACCATCAGATGATAAAGTTCCCGAATCCAGAGGGAGTCGAGTTTGTGAGAAGCAACCAGTGAGAGGCCAGGTTATGTTATCTACGCTCAATGAAAATGAAATGAGTTTTGGAGACCCTGCCAATTGAGAAGACCCACCTCCAAATGCAAAAGGAATTCGAATGGGAGCGGACGACTCCCATAGAAGAATTGCAGGAAGTGCTGATAGACCTTGATGGATTGAGGAAGGTCAAAATCGGGTCAGGCCTCGTTGAGCCCCAAGGAGGAGTTGTGATCGCTTTCCTACATGAAAAATACAGATGTGTTTGCTTGAGGACCCGAAGACATGCTGGGAATTTCCCTCGAAGTGGTGAGCCATAAGCTCTCGGTCGATCGACACTGCAAGCCGGTTCAACAAAAGAGAAGGCATCTCGGCCCTGAGAGGCAGAAGGCGGCTGCGGATGAAGTCGACCGCTTGCTCAAGGCCGACTTCATCTGAGAGCTTAAATACCCAGAGTGACTACCTAATGTGGTGCTGGTCAAGAAGAAGTCCCTTGGCAAGTGGAGAATGTGTGTGGACTTCACAGAATTAAACAAAGCTTGCCCAAAGGACAACCTCCTTCCAAGGATCGATCAACTAGTTGATGATAGTACGGGCCATGAAATGCTTAGCTTTATGGACGCTTTCTTTGGATACAATTAGATCATGATGACAAAGTATGATCAGGAGAAGACCTCATTCATCACAGACCAAGGGACCTACTGCTATAAGGTGACGCCCTTTGGTCTTAAGAATGTAGGGGCCACTTATCAGAGTCTGGTCAACAAAATATTCAAACATCGGATTGCCGTAATATGGAGGCATACGTGGATGTCATTCTTGTGAAATCAAAGCAAGCGGCATCTCACGTATCAGATCTTGAAGAAACTTTCTCCGTCCTCTAATGCTTTCACATGAAGCCCAACCAGGCCAAATGTGCCTTCAGTGTGCAATCATGAAAATTCCTTAGGTTCATGATTACCTAACGAGACATTGAGATCAACCTCGAAAAGATAACTGCCATAGAGTAGATGTTTGGGCCTCACACATTGAAGGACATCCAGAAGCTAAATGGCAAGATAGCTGCGTTGGGCCACTTTGTTTCAAAATCTGTCGAGAGAAGCCTCTCATTCTTCAAAACTTTGAGAGGAAGCAAGGAGTTGAAGGAAGGTCTCGGCTGGACAGCAGAGTGCAGTGAAGCCTTCAATAACCTCAAGAGATATT